ACTGTGAGCTCTTCAGGGAGCATCACATCCATTCCCATCACCTCACTAAGTCTGTTTGACAGAGGAGGAAACAGGTCCCAGTGGGGTCTTCTGCACCAGGGCACACAGCTAGGGGTAGTGGGGCTGGGATCCACGGTGGAGACTGTTGCCACAGCAAGCGTCCCTTAGAAACCCTTAACAACCGGTCAGGCCTCTGGAAGGCAGCAAGAGACTGAAGAATTCCCATCCCTGAGGTCCTGGCCAGGTCTCTTCCTCAAAGACCCCAATACCTGGTTTCCAGGTGACCACCTCCCTCCTGGTTGGCAAGGACTCTGGAGCAGGTGAGGTCAAGTTCTCCCAAAAGGTGGGTGAGGACCCAGGAGAGGGCATCTTCATTTGCCTTTCCTTCCAGATGGCTGACCTCTGCTGGCATTCCCTGCAGCCCCTGTAGTCATTATCCCTCCACAGAGGCCAACGCTGAGGCTCAGAGAGGCCAGAGGCCTTACCTGAGGCCACACTGGTGTACCCAGTCTTTCCAGCAACCCCATGATCTTCATGTGGGGGTCTAGACACCCACAGAGGGAGAGTCTCCTTAGCTTTCCTGCTCTGGGCTTGATTAACTTGATTCACCTTAACGTGGTCTCTATAAAGGAGACCGAGTCAAAGTCACTCCTCCTCAGCGCCTGGTCAGCCACACTTAAGGTGCTGGACTCTGGGGGATCAGACTAGGGCCCCGTCTTCTAGGAGCTGCCGGTCTGGTAAGAAGCTGGCACTGGAACAGAAAAGCCCAACTCTCAGAGATGAGGGCAATGATGCAGACAAAGAGAGGGCCCAGGGGGCGCAGCCCCAGGGGAGAGGGCGTGTGTGCATGAGGTAAGCGACTTTCCCAGGGGAGAAGACATGGCCGTTGCCGATGTCCCTAGGAACACCCTTCTTGGCCAGGGTACCCCACTGTCCCACGCAGAAAGAGCAGGAAAAAGGGGGCAGGGGCGCTCGGCGAAGGCTTTCTCTCAGCCTTCAGGTGGCGCCCTCGAGCCACGGAGCCGCACGCGCCGGGCGAGAGTGTCTCGACCCAAAGACCTTAGCGAGCACTTGGGTCCTGCCGGGGGGCTGCGCGTGCCAGGGTGGCGGGTGGGTGGAGACGGAGGGCAGGGGAGGAGGAATCTGAGCTTGGCGCAGTGGGGGCTTCCCCGAGGAGGGGAGCGGAGCGGCGGGGGAGGGGTCTTTTCCAGCATCCACCCCCGCGCCCCGCCCCTGTGCCGGGCACCGCGGGCTCCAAGCTGCAGTTTCCTAGACCCCGGCGCCGGCGCTACGGATCTGCCCTAGGGGAGGAGGAGCGGGTGGAGCTGTCTCCCCCTCCGCACCCCCCCATTACTCCGGGCTATTACCCGCCTCCCCGGCCCTCCCAGGGCTAACTCTCCGGGCGCCCTCGCCGGCCGCGGGCGGAGCGCGAGCCTCTGTGCACGGCGATCCCGGCTCCCGCCCCTTCCCCGGTCCCTTCCTCCCCAGATCCCCCCGCCCCCGCCCCCCCCCCCGGTCTCGGCGCGAGCAGGTACGTGCGCCCTGGCGGCGGCTCCGGGCTGGGCCGGGCAGGGGGCGGGAGCCGGGCGGGCGAGGCGGAGTGGCCGGGCCCGCGCCCTCCCGGGCTGCGCCGCAGCAGACACCGGCGGGCGGGCGCCGGCTGCGGGCGGGCGGGTGGGCGCCCGGGGAGGACGCGTCCTCGCCCGCCAGCTCCTTGCGCGCTCGCCTCCCGCGGGGAGGTGGGGAGGGAGGCCCGGCACAGGTACGCGCGCGGGGAGGGAACCTTGGGGGCGGCGGGAGGGGGAGGGCCGTGGGGGGGGGGTGGCGAAGGAGAGCGAGCCTGACCTCGCCGCCCGGCCGAAGGACACGCGGCTCGCGGGGACCCGGGGGCGCGGGTCCTCGCGCAGCCCGGCCTCCCGGGGCTGCCCGGACGCCCTGCGACTGGCGCCACCCGGCCCAACCCGGCCCGGCCTGGCCCGGCCCGGCAGCGTTTCTGGCCAAGGGCAGGAGCAGGGGGTGTGAGCCGCGGGCGGCCGGGCGCGCGGATGCGGCGGGTGGCCGGGAGGCTGAGGCTCTCTGCGTGGAACTTTGGGTAGAACAGCGCGGACCTGCGTGTGCGTGTGTGCGCGCCCTGAGGCTTTGTGTACAACTCGTGCGTGTGTCTGTCGACTGGGTTTTGTGGAGCTTCACCCACGTCCGCTGTGCGTCAGTCTCTCCGCGTGCTAGTGCGCACGGGTGGGTGGGGAGCTGGGCCTGGCGGTCTTGGCGGATCTGGCTTACATCTTAGCAGCCCTGGGTACTGATTCACGCGTGTGTGTGTGTGTGTGTGTGCAGCCTCTCTGCCCCCTCATGGGTGTGTATATCAGTGTGGCTCCTCATGTCTGCGAGTCTTGCTTATGGCCAAGTTCCTGGGGTAGTGCGTGTGGAACTGATGACATTGGGTGCGCTAGTACAGTTGTGGGGGGGTGTGTATTGAGCATTAGCTTCTGTGTCAGATTGTTTCCTTTTGGGGGGTAGTTGACTCGGCCTGCCCTTGTGCCATGGGTATTTTGAACCTGGGTGAGCAACATCATAATTCTGGTGAAAGGGAGCCTCCTTTTCATGCACCCTCTTCCTAACTCTGGGGTCCTAAGGAAAAGTTTCGGGTTCCTGCAGGTTGAAGGAGGACCCTACTCCCAGAATTTGGGTGCCCTGGGTTTCCTCTGGGATATGGAGGCAGCAATATGCTAGTATGGGAAAGGGTCCCTGGGGGCACATCTGGACACCCACTGGGCAGACATGGTCACCACCAGTCCCTGTTTGTGACGGGGCACTCAGGAAAATACTTTTGGTGCCAAGAGCGAAAAGCCAAACCAGCACTCCCCTCCTGTAGAACATGGAGGTGGTGTGGGCAGGGCCTGGTCCCCTGCAGTTACCTCCACCTGGTGGGCACTGCCTGGGCAGACTGCCAGGCCACCCCTGAGGCTGGCTGTGTTCCAAACCCTCAACGGGCTGGAATTCAGATATACCCCTGGCCTCAAGCTGTTCACCCTTGCTTTCAAACAGTGGGATCAAATGGAGGGTCTGTGATGAGGACTGTGGGGGCGGGGGGAGGGGTAGGCCATGCCCTGGTGCGGTATAGATGCTCCGTAAACAATTGTTATATTGGGATTCAGGGGAGAGGGAGGTGGGGAAAGAAAGGGGTTGTAGATGAAAGGCCCTGTGTGTGCTAAGGGGAGGTGTGTGATGCAAGTCTTTGTTGGAAGGGAAATCAGAAAGGTGGATAAACTTGCCTTCCTGCAAGAGAAGAAAGAGAGAGAGAGACAGAGAGAGAGAGACAGAGAGAGATACATTATATACAGAGCACTGGAGAATAAGCCCAGGCATTGAAAAGCAGAGCGACATCTAGAATGTGTGTGCATGTGTATAGATATGTGTAAGTGTATAGACACACCAGAGCACTCTGCCCCTGGGGGTATCATCCACTGTGGGGACTTGGGGTTGTGTACCTGGGGCCCTGGATGTGTGTACTCCCAGGACATGGGTGTGGGGGGGAGTGTGGTGTTCTGCTGTGGGGTTCTTGGTGGGGAATGGGGCCAAGGTGTGGGGGGGGCTCTGTGTGGGAGAGCACTGGGCCCGCCTCCTGAGGGGCTGTGTCATCAGCTCACGCTGAGTGTGGTTGTTGTGTGGGCACGGGGCCAGGGTGACCAGCCTCTTTCACTGTGCAGGAGAAACCAGGCATCCAAAGTTTGAAATGTAAAATCGTATGTTGGCAACTACCTCACCAAAAATGACCAGAAACAGAAAAGCCAAACTTCTATGGGCCAAAGATCACCCACGGGCTAGGAGTTGGTGTCCTCTGACAGGATGCACATGTGTGGCCTGTCTTTCTGTCAGTGTGGTGTGCGTGCAGGTGCTTAGGTGGGACAGCTCCTCTGAGCACAGAGTGCACCTTCTCACCCTGCTCCTCTCCTGTGGTCCTCAGCCGGGTCCTACCCGCTTTTCTAATTATGTGAAAGCATTTGACTTGGACCCCAGTCATAACTCCCAAATATGCACCTTCCGCCTGGCCCCTCAGCCACTGTCCATGCTTCCTCCTGAACCCGCGGCCGCCACCATGCTCCTTCCATTCTCTCTGCCCATGCAGCAGCCAGAGAGAGCTTTGTGAACGCGAGGCCAATCTCAGCAAGCCCTGCTCGGACACCTCCCCTCCCTGGCTCTCTGGCTCCCAGGCCTGGGTCTCCGTGTCCTTGGAGAGCTGGCCCGTCACCCCAAAACCCCCCTGTCCCTCTCCAGAATGCCTCCCCTTGCTGCTGGGAGGTTTCCCACTCATCCTTTGAGGTAAACACTCATACTCAAGCACCACCAACTTCTAGAAGCTTCCCTGACTTTCTCCAATTTGCTCCCACACCTTCATCTCTCTGTCCACCTCTTTCCCCCATCAGCCTCTCCTCATCACAACAGTGCCCACTGGTTGGACTGGATGGACCTTACATCTATTATTCATGAAATTCTCACATCAACCCTATGGGGGAGACATTTTGTTTGTTCCCATTTAGGAGATGAGAAAACCAGGTGTGGAGAGGGCACGTCATTTGCCCAAACTCCAGTGGTGGATTGGGGATTTGAACCTGATAGCTGCTGTATTTAAATTCCCCCGTTATAATAACAACTTACCACGGATACTGAGCACTATTGTTCTGAGTACTTTCTGTGGATTCTCTCAGTCCTTACGTCAGCCCTGTTAACAGGGGGCGGTAGCAGTACGGTCACTTTGTAGATGGGGAACACTGAGCCCAGGGGGTAACAAGTGAATGGCCCGAAGCCACGTGCCAGCAGTAGAGGATGGCTCTGCTCAGCATCATCTCATTCTGCCTCGCCCTCTGCCCGGTGGGCTCCCTCAAGTGGTGACTCTGCCTGGTTGATGGCCACATCGCTCAGGGCCCAGTGGGAGTCCAACTCCAGTGCACTCTTGGGGATTTGCTAAATTCGACTTTCTGTTTTCTCTTCTAGCAGCCAAGGGGCCAAGGGATGAGCCGGGGCGCGCCTTCCCAATGGCATCTCCCCCTGGTCTGGAACTGAAGACCCTGAGCAATGGGCCCCAAGCCCCAAGGAGACCAGCGCCTCTGGGCCCCGTGGCCCCACCCAGGGAGGGTGTGGAGAATGCCTGCTTCTCCCTGGAGGAGCATGAGACCCATTTCCAGACCCCTGTGGACGCCAGACTGGGCAGCTCCCCCAGTCCCCCTGGGGGTGTCCCCTCGTGGTCCCGATCCCAGAGGGATGATCTATCCCTGCGCTCAGAAGAGGCGCCCGGCCTGGAAGCTGTGAGCCGCCCAGTGGATTATGGCTTCGTTTCTGCTCTGGTTTTCCTGGTGAGTGGGATCCTTCTGGTGGTGACAGCATACGCCATCCCCCGAGAGGCCCGCGTCAACCCAGACACGGTGACAGCACGGGAAATGGAACGACTAGAGATGTACTATGCGCGCCTGGGGTCCCACCTGGACAAGTGCATCATCGCGGGCCTGGGGCTGCTCACGGTGGGCGGCATGCTCTTGTCGGTGCTGCTTATGGTCTCCCTGTGCAAGGGGGAGCTGTACCGCCGGCCGACCTTCGTCTCCGGCAGGGGCTCCAGGAAGACCTATGGCTCCATTAACCTGCGCATGAGACAGCTCAATGGAGACGGGGGCCAGGCCCTGGTGGAGAACGAAGTGGTCCAGGTCTCAGAGACCAGCCACACCCTCCAGGGTTCCTAAGTAAGAGCCCACCCGATCTGCTTTATCTCCAAGGCCAGAAGGCCCGAGAGGCCCGGGGTTTCTGACTGAGCTCCACAGAGGGCCCCGTGGAAGGAGTCTTGGGTGCTGGTGGGGGAGCCCAGGGCCTGGCTAGGCCCCACTTGGGAGAGTGGCCCCCAGTCTGTTTCGTAGTTTGAGGTTTTGCCTAAGGTTCTGCTTGGTGGATGGATTCTGCTGCTACAAATACAAAAGTTTGGAAACTGCTGCCCTTTGAGGATGAGGTTTCTTGGCATTTCTGAGGATTGAGAGCTCTCTGAAAGGCTGCCAGTCCGTTCCCCATGTTGGGGAATTCAGAGAGCTCTGCTATTCTCATCAGCAGAGTATGGGCGTTAGTGACCTCAGAGGGACCTTTCAGCCCTGACCATCGAAGTTGGGAGGTGGCTTCAAAATGAGGGGGAGAAGTCAGCGCTGGTGTCACCTCCACTCTCTCTGCCTCGGTCCCGGACTTCGTCATGGGAGGGTTGGACTGGATGATCCCTAGGAATGGGAGCCCAGTATTGACCGCTGGCTACTCCTTTGTGGGACGAGAGGCAGCCAGGTATTGACCATCTTTTGTGCCATTTTCTGGCCCTGCTTTGGTGGCCACCACGGTCAACCAGCCAGCATCTTCCTCAGTCCTGCGGACAAGGGGTCTTTTCTACAAGAAAGGATGAGGGCTTTGTGCAACAGAATATGACGTGGGCTTCACTGTCTGCCCCTCATATTCTGTGTCTCTAGGCCTGACCTTATTCTGGGAGTAGAAAAACAAACTTCAATGCTGAATGTGTGACCCCCTCCCCTTCCCTTAGCAGCCCCAGTTGATTGGGGAGAAATCGGGCACCTTCTGATGGCCAGGAACGCCTGCCACATCCATCACTGTTTGTTTCTCTGGTGGGATGGTTCCAGGCTCTGTGCACACGCTCTTGAAACTCCTGACAAGGGAAGGAAAGGGGACCCAGGGGCCGAGGAGATACAGGTGTTTGAGGATGGGAGGCGTGTCTGAGTGGCCCTACAGGACTTCAGCACCTGTCTTCTGGGTCACTGCTGGGAAGACTCTAAAGGGGTCATTTCAGTGACCTCCGGGCCCAAGCAGACGCGACTTACTCCCTCTCATTTGCCCTGTGGACCTTGGATCCTGTCCCAGGGGATGGGAGCACTGGCGGACCTGGGGCATGTGGGCCTCGAACTGTAACATGAGCCCTCCTCAGTGAGGTGAACATCTGGGCAGTGTAACATGACAGCTCCGATGACAGATCAAATATCTGCCCCTGCTGGCAGGTTTTGCTGGGAGCAGAGGGCTGAAGGGGACAGGGCTCATTCAGCTTGGCCGCCAGCCTCTGTTCTGGTGTTGGAGGGGTGTGGCTTGAAAAGAACAAAGCCTCATGGTGGTGAGGGAGTCACAAGTCCAGGGCTTCCTCTGGCGAGTCCGTTTTCCCCACAATCCAAGCAGGGAGTGCAGGTGGGAAGTGGCAAGAGCTGTTCTAGATGAGCAACATTGGAATTGAACTTCCTAAATGATGGGCTGAGATCTTTCAAATCCATAACAATAATAAAAGTATCAATCCAAGCCACGTGGGTTACTGTGCCAGCCAGGGAGACCCATGCAGAGACCAAACCTGTGGAGCAGATGCCTCTGGGACCACCGCATCTGTCCCTCTAAATGCAGGGAATTGTATTCAGGGACTCAATGTGTTTGAAGATTAAATCCCAGGAATCTCAGGTTTTCTCCAAGCCAGAGAAGCCTGCTTTGCATCCTAATGCAGAAACTCCTTTAGAAAATGTGTATAATGGATCGAGGCAGTCATTACCCTGTCAGGGAATTAAGAAAAGTTGAAAGATGCCAAAAACATTTCCCCAAGATTGCAGCTGAGCTCTCCCAGCCGGTTTCCCAGAAACAGGGTTAGGAAGGAGGTGTGGAGGAGCAAGTCCTGGGTGCCCAGAACTTCCTTTGCAGGTTTTTTTTGGGGGGTGGGGTAGGTGTGGAGAGGTCCCAGTTACTTGCTGCAACTACCTTCCCCCCAGGAATTGCCTCTCCACCTGACAGGCTACTAGGGTCCCCAAACCTTACTTTTTCCGTTTCATCAGAATTTCGAGTGGTTTTAGAGTTGGTGAGACCTAGGTTGGAATCCAGGCAACAGCCAAAATTCCCCCCCAGATCAGATGCAGATTAACCTCTAGGCTCCTCTTTTGCACAGACCCCTCTGAGAGCTCAGTCAAGATTTCATTTGCAATTTTGATTTTTTTTAAGCTTCAGCTCCACCCAAACCTAGGTCCTTCCCAGAACCTTGGCCTGGTGAAATCTGGTGCCCCTGCTGCTTTGACCCTTGTCTCTGTTTCCCACCCTTGCCTCTGCTCCCTCTGCTCCTTGCCTCTGCTCCGGCTCCAGCTCTGGCTCTGGCCTTACTCCATCCTTGCTGCTCCTCACTTTGCCAGCCTTATTCTCACCTCAGGACCTTTGCACCTGTTGCTCCTACCTGGAAGGCACTTCCCCGTGATAGCTGCAGAACCCACTTACTCCCTCACCAACTTGGGGACTTTATCCAAATCTCACCTTCTCAGTGAGGCCCTTGCTGACCATCGAGTTAAAATTGTATCCCTTCCCCTAAGTCCCTCTTTCCTGTCACTGTTTTGTATTTCCTCTGGAGCACTAACCGCCAGCCTAGTGTTCAGGGAGCATTTCCACCTGGCATTTTGGGAGGAGACTGTGTGGTCCTGGGCTGGGAACCAGGAGAGCCGGGTCTTGCAGGTCGCCCAGTCCCTGTAGGCTTTTGTACAAATCGCTCCACCTCTCTGGTCCTCCAGAGTATTCTGCAACCACCCCAGGCTGGGTAGGTTCATCGTCAGTTCAGGCAGCTTGAAACAGAAACTTGGAGCCCGTGGCATCGTCCCCACAGCTTACGGGAAACAAGCCAGCAGGGAGACAGCAACTTGCCCCCACCATGCAAATCCCTCTACGCACTGTGCCTTCCTCTCACAGCCGGTCCCCATGCGATGCTCTCCCAAGCTCTCCACTGCACTCCCCGCATGGTCCCCTGTGACGCCGCCCTTATAAGCTCAGTCTCTGGTTCAGGTGTGCCCACTTACGCATGCCCACACCGCATGCCCAGGCCGTACTCCAGGTGCCCACCATCAGGCATGCGCACCCCAAGCACCTCCTGCACTCAAGGCCGCAGGTGCTAGCCACAGAGGCCAAGGGCGCAAAAAAGCCTGAGCATCTTCATTTACCCTGCAGAGTTGCCGTGGAAACCTTCCCACTCTGCCTTCTCCGGGAACACAGTAGGGGCTTCCAGAGTTTAGACCATGGAGCCCTGCGTCCGGAGAGCTTTGGAGGGGCAGGAGGTGGGAGGAAAGTGGGTGTCAGAAACACAGAGAGTCAAGGAGATGCCCTCCAGCAGGGCCTGCGCGGTTATCTGGGAGAAAGTACACCCTCTTGATGCCCCAGAGGAGGGACATTTTAGCTAAGAGGAGAGAAACTTGCTGGGCTCCTGCCTGGGAGGGAGCAGTAGGTCGCATGTTAGCACTCACTGGTCAGGTGTTGGGCATCTTCAGGAGGGGAAGTGGAGTTGGGAGGAATTTGGTCCTGAGGCTCCTTGGGCTTTGTAAGGGCAGGAATGGACACGGTGCAGGTTTTCTGACCAGCAGACCGGGTAAAGGAGGAGTCAGAGTCCTCCGTGGCTTTTGCAGGTCTTTTATTTAGATTTGCCAGGCACATGGCAGGCAGGGGTGCTGGGGGGCCGGGAGGCTGGCCATCCTCCCAGCCCCCAGCAAATCCTCACTCTGTCTGGGCTCTCCTGCGTTCTCTCTGTTTCTCTTCTTCTCTCGGCTTCCATTCGTTCTTGGCTTCTGCTGGCGTCCCCGTGATGCCGCCCTTAAAAGCCCAGTCTCAGCCCAGGTGAATCCCATCTACCTATGCCCACACCCTACTCCAGGTGGCCGCCATCAGGCATGCATTCAGGACCGCAAGGATCCCTCATCTATCCTGATGGCGGGAGGGCAGAAAAGCCTGACATTTTTCCTTACCCAACAGGCCTCCAACGCCCTTCCTCCGAAGAGAGCCAGGGCCCCGGTGGCAGAGCCTGGCTGAAGACAGTAGCAATCCCAGCCTGGCCATGCCTTGCTTCCAAACAGCCTCAGATCATGCCTCTCCCCAGGCTGGGCTGTCCATGAGCGGAAGGGCAGACCCAGGATACCCGAGTCATTGCAGAGGGCAGCAGAATTACCAACTTCCCAGGGGCTGAAGCAGCACTCCTGGGCTTTCTCCCTATGCAGACCTCAGAGGGAAGGAGGGCTGGGCCCTTTCTGCAGAGGAGGGCTCATCAGATAAGCGTGTAAGGAAGAGCACTGGTGCTGGAGTTTGATACCTCAGATACTGGGCAGGTGCCAGTGTCCCTGAACCTCTGTTTCCTCATCTGTAAAATGGGGAGGGGATGCTCACGACAGCACTTACCCCTTACGGCATGGTGAACAGTACACAATACCTGTAACCCCCTCAACTGTGCCTGGCTCTTTATAATCTCTCAGCAATGGGAGCTGTTGATCTTTATTCATTCACACCTACTCTGCATGCTTCCCTGAGTTGATCACCTGCATGCCCTTGAGTTGGTCACCTACTGTCTGGGGAAACAAAACCATGCAAAGAAGGCTGTGTGTGTGTATGTGTAGGGGTAGTATTGTGTGCAAAGGAGCTATTTGAGCTAGGGTTAGAAAAGGCTTTCCTAGAAAGGATGATGTCCAATAGGAATCTTACAAGGCAGTATCCGAAGTGGGATGAGAGTAAGGAGCAGAAAAGTTATCTGAGGGAGAGAGAGGAATGGCAAGAGCAGAGGCTCAGAGGCATAAAACAGCCTGATGTAGACTGGGGCGGGGGGAGTGGGAGTTGGAGGCCTGCAGGTGCTATATTGGAGTGTGGAGATGAGCAGGTTGAGAGCTTCACCGTGGAGGTGTGTTTCACCTGTAGAATGGGGAAGACCACAGTCCTTAACTGACAGGGTGTTAGGAAGACGCTGAGCTCATGCTGGCATAGCATAGCACATGCCTGCATGCAATGCCAGCTCACTGCTGGCCATGATTATGGTTGCTTGCAGATGTGTGTGCCAGGAAGTCTTCTGAGGCAGGTGTGTTGTAGAGGTGTCACTGGCACTGGGGAGGCCAGTGCATGGGGCTGTGGTCTCCAACTGCAGCCAGAGGACATGACTTCGAACTCCAGGCCTCCCTCTCGACAGCCTGTCCCCCTTGGGTCTCTGAGCCACTGAAGTTGAACTGGTGGCTGCTGCTCTCCTGGGCTTAGGGGAAGGCTTGTGAGTAGAAGGATCTGCTGGCAGGAAAGCTGGCCCCAGGGGAGCAGAGAGGGCAGGGAAGAAGGCGGCTGCCATACCAACCTTTTCCCTGGTGGCAGGGCATCCTGGCAATACTGACTGAGGGCCCAGGGCCTTCAGAAAAGGCATCTCTCTCCCTCTTTTGGCTCTTCTTTGCCTCCAGTCTCTCCCTATCTTCCTTTGCTTTTTGATTGTTCTGTACTTACATCTCCTTTCCCTGAACCACTCCTGGGGATGACATACCCACAGGTGAGTTGTCGCTAATGCTGACTCACCTGCCAGCCATCTGACTTTCCTGACAGTCTGCACCCTCCCCCATCAAAGATAAAAGCAGGGGTGACAGTGG